TCCTCTTCTTTCTTTCTTTCTTTCTTTCTCTTCAGTCTCTCCTCTCCTTTCTTTCTCTCTTTCTTTTTTTTTCTTTCTCTAGTGGTGTTCAGTCAGGAATTATTCCTAATTCTGTGCTCAGGGATCACCCTGGCAGTCACTCAGTCACTGCAAGGCTAGCACCTTACATAACTATTTTTCCAGCCCCACTTTAACTTTTGTACTTGAAGCTTGGGCTGGAATGATAGCACAGTGGGTAGGGCGTTTGCCTTGCACGGGACTGACCCGGATGACCCGAGTTTGATTCATCCACCCCTCCCGGAGAGCTCAACAAGCTTTTTTGTTTTATTTTTGCCATTTTTCTATTTACTTATAACTCCCAAATGACTTAACTAAATCAGTGCTAAAGCAGGGATCTATAAATGGAATTTCACTTTAGAAATACTATATGAAACCCCATGTTTTCAGCATAGTACTGTCACCAGAGGGGCGGAGGAATTGAACTCGGGTCGGTCATGTTGGCCACTTGCAAGGCAAATGCCCTACCCGCTGTGCTATCACTCCAGCCCTTCAGCATAGTAAGTTTGATTAAACCAGAACCTAGAAAAACACTTCGAAAGCCCTCTAAATAAATAACTTTGCAAATATTCAAAGCCTGACTTATCCTTCTTGGGGTGGGGGGAGGAGTGCAAGGAGTCATAGAGAAAAGTGTTCAGGGATTGAACTCAGGGCCTCAAACACAAGGAGTATGTTTACTCTACCAGAGTGACATTCCTGACTTGACCTAATTCTTTAGAGCTCAGATAAATGATCATTTACTATAAACTTTACAAAGTCAAAGCCCCCCCCCAGAAAGCATAATTTCTTGTGGTGAGGAAGAAAATAAAGATATTATATCTGCTTGAGAGAATTCTGAAATATCTGTGCAAACTCTTGCTATGGTCGGCTGCCAAGCTGCAAAGATCTGAGCTCACTCCACCACAAGAGAGCAGCAGAACTCAACCATTGTTAACACAAACCCAAGGGAGGGAGAGAGGCTTCATCAGAGGAATCATTAAAGCCACTTGCCAAAGCATCCATCACTGGAAAGAGCTAGCAAATAAGAACCACCGTGCACACAGGTTCAGAGTTTCTACCTCCAGTAACAATAAGACAGGAAACAAGCAAGAGGGCTTGTAAAAGAGAGTGACCTTGCTCCCATCCTCCTGTCCTTGAATTACCATGGAAACACTATGGCTAATGCAGCTTAATAACGACTGCAGATAGTGGTCTGTTCATTTGGTTGTTCAGATAAGAACACTGTGGCAGTTATTGAAGAAACTGAGTTCTTAATGGGGATCTGGGAAAGGCAGAATAAAAGCTGTGAGGGGCAGCTGAGTTGTTATACTTCAGAAAATTGGTTAGAAATTATTTTGGGAGTGTTCTAGGGTGAACGCTACTTTAGTATAGATTTATAATGCTGGGACATTAAGATAAGCACAATAATTTTTGCAACTGATTGAATTAACTTCAAACCATTGCAGGAAGTTAATGAATACAAGAAAGAATCAGAATGGTAACAAAAGAAATTCAATATTTTAAATATATATTATTGGTCCATAAATATAACATGAGTCATATTTTTGACATAACACATATTTTTTAATGTGTTCTCACAACCAAACATCTATTTTTGGTTTTAATTAATAATTGTTATTAATATTGCTAAAGTATATCTAAAAAACAATTTAGTATTTGAAAAACCCAACTTAAACTTCAACAATTTATTTCTTTCAATTCCACATTTATTGAACACTTACAATTGAGAGTAGACTGTACCACTGTGGGTATTGAAATAGAGAATTCTAGAAAATTGTCCCCAAATGTTATAAGACCTCAAATTAATATTGAGAACTCTGAACATTTTCCACATGTTTAATGACTTTCCTTTCCCATAATTGTACCTTTTGATGTAGTGATATGCCTCTCTAATTCAAGGAAACCTGTTCCTTCATGTTGATTGATTATAGGGAAGTCAAACATTCTGTTTTGGGGCTAGAGCAATAATGAAGTCGATAAGGTGTTTGCCTTGCTGGTGTCTGACCCAGGTTCAATCTCCAGCATCCTGTATACTCCCCTGCACCAGCCAGGAAGGAGCCCAGAGCCAGGAGTTAGACTAAACACCACCACTTAATCACTTAATCACTTAACTTCCCGTTAGTCGTCGATTTGCTTGAGCGGACGCCAGTAACGTCTCCATTTGTCCCTGTCGCGTGCTAGTGTAGCCCAATGGCATCTCTTCGCTCCGGGAACATGGAGGGCCTCAAACCGATCGTTCATGATCTTGACAAAGAAGTCTGACCATCTGGTAGGTGGGCGGCCACGCGGTCTCTTGACATCCCGTGGAATCCAATCAGTAACAGCTCTAGTCCAACGGTCGTCTTTAAATCTCATTACGTGACCAGCCCATCTGATTTTCGACACCTTGGCATATGAGACAGCGTCCCTGATCCTTGATCGTCGACGGATGTCAGAACTCCGGATTCGTTCTCTCATTTGAGTGAAACGTGATATTCCAAGCATAGCTCTTTCTATTCTTCTTTGGGAGACCTGAATGGCGTTCTCATCTTGTTTGCGTAGGGCCCAGGTCTCTGAGGCATATGTTAATGCAGGAAGAACAGTGGAATCACCACCACATATGACCCAAACACCACCACATATGACCCAAAGTGCCCCCACCACCACCAAATTTAAAAAACAATTTTAAGTTCTGATTCGTTATTCAATACATATTTGTGATTAACATAATTATCATTGCTGTTAATAAATCTGAATAGAATATTTGAAATGTAAGACCTTTTGTTAATGGACAGGGATAATATATTCGTAGATCAAAGGGCTGAAGTTCATGCTTTATATGTGGGAATCTGGGTTCCATCCCCAGTACCACATGTTTCCTGAGCATCATCACAGGCAATCTACACACGCTGAGCTGGCTGTGGTTACCCCTGAGAAACAAACAACAAAAAAAAAAACCACAAGAAAAACTCATTAAATTTTAAGTATCAGAGTTGGGGTTGATAGTACAAAGGGCAAAGCACTTGTCTTGCACACAGACAACCTCGAGTTGATACCTGGAATCACATATGGTCCTCCAAACCCTGCCAGGAGTGATCCCTGAGCTTAGAGCCAGGAGTAATCCTGAGCACTGCCAGGTATAGCAAAATAATAATAATAGATTATAGGTGTCATTGAATAATTTGTCAACTCAATTCACCAAAAATGTATTGTATTATGCGAGAAACTAGAGTTAGCATAAATGTATAAAAAACAGACCTGAAGGTGAAAGAGAAAGAAAGTATTTTTCTGAGTTACTATTCTGTGGCATATTTTTTCATATCTTTTCTCATCAACCCACATACAATTTTGAGATGTTATCTATATTTTAGGGAAAAAGAAACAGACTGAGCTATTAGATGACCTGCTCAAGGTCACAAAACTGGTCTGACAGTCAAGATTGTAACCCCAGTCAATTAAGCTTTAAAGTGTATTTTCTTTCCATTGGACCATCCTATCTGAATATTAGATTTTGCCTATGTGAAAAAATGCTTATGAAGGTCAGTTTAATAGTTTGAAATTTAACCAAACATTCATAATGGTGTAGAATGGTGGAAATTTTTGTCATATATTTTTTTGTTTAGAAGCCATACTCAATAGTTCTCAGGGACGACTACTGGTTATATTTCAGGTGTCATTTATGGTGGTGCTCAGGGGACCACGTAGTGTGGGAGATCAAATTATACATTATTGAAATACAATTGAGATTATGTACCACTCTTGGACTCCATTCTCTTTTCTTCCTTTCTAAAGAGAATACTATTATGAATTTGGTGTTGATTTGTGCATAATTCATTTCCTTACTACATATGTACAAATTCAGGACAGTGTTTGGAGGGGGTGGCAGTGCCAGGAATCAATTTCAAGATGTCACATACATAAGACAAGTGCACTTCCCTTGAGCCACATCCTTGACCCACAATATAAAGTTATTTTATAGATTCAATTTTTTTAAATAGGAGCTATCTCCAGTGGTATTCAGGGGACATTGAGCTAATCTTTATGATGCTTAGGGGTTATCAGGGTCACAATAATCAGTGCTTAGGGAGGCCAAGGAGTATCAGAAACTAAATTCAGGGCCTCGTACTTATTAGACATGTGCTCTACTACTTGAGCTGTCTCCCTGGGCCCCTCAACTGCTTTTTAATTGTATCCAAAAGTAGAGAGTATTCTAAAAAATTACTTTTGGGACTCCACCTGTTTAGAGATTTACCCATAAAAATATCTATATATCTATATACATGTATATGTATATATAATGCTAGATAGTATTTTGTGATGTGAATATACCAAAATTAATTTGATATTTTCCTGAAATCACAATTTATTTTTGTTTATGTCTTGAGGTCATACCCTATGATGCTCAAGGTTTACTCCTGGCTCTGTATTTAATAATCACTCATGGCATTGCTTCTTGGGAGATTGTATGGGATACCAAAGATTGAACCTAGGTTGGCCTCCATGCAAGGCAGTCACACTACCTGCTGTACTATCTCTCTAGGCCCTATTGTTGATTTGGGTTTTTTGATGAATCACATCCAGTGGGTCCTGGGGGGTAGGGGGTTGCTTCCAGCTGTGCTCAAGGGACTGTGAATTACCAGGGATTGAACCCAGGCCTGCCACATGCCCTACATGCCTAGCATGCACTCAGCCTATTGAACTATCTCTGTGGCTCCAATATTCTTTAAAATATTCCTTTTAATTGAATTTTTAAGAAATTATTTATTTTTCCATGCTGGGAATCAAATCCAGGACCTCACACACACTCGCACTGAGCCATATTCCCGGCCCTGTAACAACAAATTTAAAGAACTCTCTGCTCTACTTCTGACTCAGATGGAACTAATGAACATTTGTCTTAACTTATATTTTAGTTACAGAATGTCAAACAACCCACAGTCACTTTTTTGTTGTTATTATTGCAGGTCATTCTCGATATGAAGTCTGGGAATTTAACAATATTATCATTGAGTACCTCTACCACTGGATACATATCTGTGTAGCTCTCATCGTGCTAAGTGAAAAGCTAAATGATGCTATTGTACCCCCATTGCCTTCCAAGACTGATGCCTCTATGTATGCCAAAATGCCAGGAATATGCTGGATACAGAAAGCAGGGGAAAAGGAACCTGGTGACACCATTGTGGACTCTGACATCAGTGAGACCTCTATCAAGAGTGAGATACCTGACCCCAATTGGAAGCCTAATGCCTCACATGAGTCCCTGAGCCTGGAGTGATTCTGAGCACTACTGGATGAATCCTCCCACCCTACCCCCAATTAAAATTCAGTAACATGTTAATGGAACTGGAACTATATTTAGAATACTTTTGTCATGCTTGGTTTTGTTTAACTATAAAATATTTTCAACTATAAAGAAGTGCCACATAAACAGATTTTGCTCCCAGACTTTTACCTCAGCACTTTCTAAAATGAAAAGTGTTACCTACGAAGAAATTTGATCTGAAAAAATATCCAATTTAGGTAGCCATAACCACATGACTGTTATAGAATATATTTTTAAAGTTTCCTTTAGTTTTAGCTTCATATCTGCCATAAGACTTGTTACAGTTGATTGGGTGAGTAACTTTCACTCTTTTAAAGTAAAATTAAAGACAAGGCTAGGAGTTGGGACAATTTTTACATCAAAAAGAGACCATGTAATAATAAAGATTTTAAGGAAGGACTGGGAATTATTTTGTCTATTTTTTTCAACAACTTAAATGAATACCTCTTCTTCTCTTTCCTGTCTATCACCTCCACTTACCTGAACAACTTAAAAGTCAACTCAATGAATAAAAATTTATGTGAGAAAATGTCCATACTCCTAGAGGATGTGTAGTTGTGGGGTGGGGGAAAAACACCCTTTTTGTATGACAAAAGTCTCTTAAGTTCAAGAACTGCAGAAAAGAAATTATAGTTGTTTAAAGCTTGTTATTACAGAAAACTTTACTGCTCTTTTCTGAGATTTCATCTTTGCAATAAGATATCTGATGACAGAGCCCATTTTTAATAAAATTTTGGGAAATTAAACTTCATTTTCTTTATTTGGTTGACAAAATGTGATGTGTTCCAAACAGCTTATAATTTGAGACTGGAGGTCCCTTTTAACCTTTTCTGATAAGACGGCAGTATTATTAACAGTCCTCATTTCTCGGATAACCGGATGCCCAATTGTAACCTATAAGCCAGTTTCATATTTGGAAGGGAACTTTCCAGAGCATTTGCAGTCACATTTCTAGTAAAAATGTTCTTGAAGATATTAAACTGATAGCTACACATCCTGACGGCTTCAGAACAAGACTATAAAGAGTTCACTTGTGAATACAAATGGCATGTTAGGCAGCAAGGAGGAGAAAACTTTTCAGAATGCTACCTTTTCATACATGCTTAAAGTGGGAAATAAGTTAACTAATATCATTCATTTGCAATGGTGATTTAATTTGAAGTGTTTTTCACATACTATCTCATTTGATCCTCCCAATAAGCTGATAAGGTAGACAGTCTCAATACTATTATCTTCATCTTATAAATAAAGAAACAAACTTTGAGAGTCAGAGACTTACCCATGTCACAAGAGCTAGTAAGAGTCAAGGGGCTCCTAGCACCCAGGTGTCCTAATTTCTGATTTAGTGTCCTTGCCAGCACCCCAAACATTTCACTTTCCAAGAAGACAAGCAATAGCTATACTATTGGTCTCTTGAAAATGACTTTCAAATGATCAACTAAGGGGTCAGAGAGATAGTATACACGAGATAGTATAGATATATAAGATGCTTGCCTTGTATGTGGCTACATCAGAGGCAATCCTGGTTTAAATTTCCTGGTTTCTCAAGGAACTCTCAGGAGTCACGCTTGAATACAGAGCCAAAGACAGCCCCTAACCACCATTGAGTGGAACTCACCCTCAAATTAGCAACCAACAAGGCAGATTGATTAAATTTGTTTAACCACCTTTAAACTAAAATACTCACCCTTAGTTTCCAGAGCCTGCTCTTTTAGTAGAGAATGTTATTTACACTTTACAAAAATTTAGATAATGATCTCTATTTATTTGTGTACTCGTTCGTTTGCTTTAATTATATATTTATATATATATATATTTGCTTCTTGAGTCAACTACTTTCTATTCTATTAGCTCTGGTGTTAATAAATAGCTAAATAGTTAATAAATAGCTCTTTTCTTGCTATGATAAAGTTTTATAGGGAAAAACCATATCCATTAATGTACATGACTGCTTTCATACCACGAAGGCAGTAATTGTAACGAACACCCAAGATCAACAAAGTCTGATTCCTCATCTTTGAAAAAAAATCATGGGTTGGAGAGATAGTACAGTAGATAAAGGCACTTGCCTTGCATATGACCAACCCAGGTTTAAGTCCCAGCACCATTAATGGTCCCCTGAGACTGCCTGCCAGGAGTGATCCCTGAGCATAGAGTGCAGAGTAAGCCCTGAGCACAGCCAGGTGTGGCCCAAAAGTCAGAATAAATTAAGTTTTAAAATTATTTTAAATTGTGGGGTCCACACATAAATAACTTGATTTCACAGCTCAAGATCTTAAAAAGGTTCGACAAAATGAACCCAAACCAGGCAGAAGGAAAGAAATAATAAAACTTAGAGCAGAAATTAATGACATGGAAACCCCAAAAACAATTTGAAAGAAGAGAGAACCCTAATAAACTGAATCAGAAATAAAAAGAGGGACATCACAACAGAAACCAAAGAAATTCAAAAGATCATCAGAGATTACTTTTGAAGCCTGTATGGCACGAAACAAGAGTATCTAGAAGAAATGGATAAATTCCTGGATTCCTATAATCTCCCGAGGCTGAACGAAGAAGATTTGGAATACCTGAGTAGACCTATTACTATCAAGTATATTGAAACTGTAATCAAAAGTATTCCAAAAAACATAAGCCCAGGTTCAGATGGATTCACTAGAGAATTCTTCCAAACATTTATGAGGACCTATTGCCACTTCAAGCTTTTCTAGAAAACTGAAGAAATAGAAACTCTCCCAGTTTCTATGAGGCACGTATCTGCCTAACACCAAAAGCAAACAGATACCACACAAAAAAAAGAAAACTACAGGCCGATATCCATGATGAACATGGATGCGTAGATCCTCAACAAAGCATTAGCAAATAGAATCCAACAACTCATCAAAAAGATCATACACCATGGCCAAGTGGGATTCATCCCAGGGATGCAAGGTTGGTTTAACATTCGGAAATCAATCAACACAATCCATCATATCAACAACAGAAAAGATAAAAACAATATGTTCACATCAGTAGATGCAGAGAAAGCATTTAACAAGATCCAGCACCCGTTTACCATGAAAACTTTCACTAGAGAGAGTATTGAAGGAACTTTCCTCAATATAGTCAAAGCCATCTACCACAAGCCTTTGTCAAGTATTACTCTCAATGAGGAAAAACTAAGAGCCTTCCCTCTAAGATCAGGGACAAGACAAGGATGCCCACTCTTACCACTTCTGTTCAATATAATACTGGAAGTACTTGCAATAGCAGTTAGGCAAGAAAAAGATATTAAGGATATCCAGATAGGAAAGGAAGAAAACAATCTCTCACTATTTGCAGATGATATGATACTATATTTAGAGAACCCTAATGCCTCTACCAAGAAACTCCTAAAAACGATTGACTTATACAGTAAAGTCACAGGCTATAAAATCAATATCCAAAAGTTCATGGCTTTCCTATATGCAAATAATGAAAGAGAAGAGAGTGACATGAAAAAAATCAATCCCGTTCACAATCATGCTTCAGAAAATCAAGTACCTTGGAATCAGCTTAACTAAGGAGGTAAAGGACCTGTCCAAAGAAAACTACAAAACACTACTTCAAGAAATAAAAGAGGAAACATATCCCCCGCTCATGGATTGGGAGAATTAACATTGTTAAAATGGCAATACTTTCCAAAGCATTATACAGATTCAATGCGATCCCTATAAGGATACCCATGAAATTCTTCAAAGAAATGGATCAAAGACTCCTGAAATTCATATGGAACAACAAATTCCCACGAATATCTAAAGCAATTATTGGGAAAAAGAAGACGGGAGGCATTACCTTCCCCAACCTCAAACTACTACAAAGCAGTAATAATTAAAACAGCGTGGTATTGGAAGAAAGATAGAGCCTCATACCAATTGAACACGGTTGAATATCCTTACAAATACCTTCAAATTATATGATCATCTAATCTTTGATAAGGGAGCAGGAAATGTGAAGGGGAGCAAGGAAAGCCTCTTTAACAAATGGTACTGGCAAAACTGGACAGCTACATTAAAAAACAATGGGCTCAGAACTTTACCTAACACCATTCACAAAAGTCAGATAAAAATGGATTATGATCTCAACATCATACCAGAATCCATAAGGTACACTGAAGAAAAGCTCGGTAGAACCCTCCACGACATTGAAGCTACGAGTATCTTCAAAGATGACGCGCTACTGACCAAGCAAGTGGAAACAGAGATAAACAAATGGGACTATATTAAACTAAGAAGCTTCTGTACCTCATAAGAAACAGTGACCAGAATACAAAAGACAGACTACAGAAAGGGAAAGGATATTCGCCCAATACTCATGATAAAGGATTGATATCAAGGATATACAAGGCACTGGTTGAACTCTACAAGAAGAAAACATCCAACCTCATTCAAAAAATGGGGTGACAAAATGAACAGAAACTTTCTCAAAGAAGAAATCTGAATGGCCAAAGGCACATGAAAAAAATGCTCTTCATCCCTAATCATCAGGGAGATGGAGATCAAAACAACAATGAGATAACATCTTATACCATGGAGACTGGCACACATCCAAAAGAACAAAAGCAACGAGTGTTGGCGTAGCTGTGGGGAGACAAGGACTCTCCTTCACTGCTGGTGGGAATGCTGACTGGTTCAGCCCTTTTGGAAAACAGTATGGACGTTTCTCAAAAATTAGAAATTTAGCTCCCATTTGACCCAGCAATACCACTTCTGGGAATATCTCCCAGAGATTCAAAAAAGTATAATAGAAATGACATCTGCATTTTTAGATTCACTGCAGCACTGTTCACAATAGCCAGAATCTGGAAAAAACCCGTGTGCCCAAGAACAGATGACTGGTTAGAGAAATTTTGGTACATATACACAACAGAATACTATGCAGTTGTTATAAAAGATGAAATCATGAAATTTGCTTATAAGTGGATCAACATGGAG